ATATAAATAATATAACATTATTCAAGTTAAATAGAAAATTATATGGTTTTCAGTTTTATACTACACACAAAAATAACTATATTTCATCATCATATATATAATAATGCAACTAAAATTTAAATGAAGAATAAAAAGCTTTTGACCCTCTGATGCTTGAACTATATCATTCAGTGAGTTTCAGGAAAGCTGTTTATGAAAAGAAACCTATAAGCATACTTACTTGAACAATAGAAAAGTCAATTATTTTGTTGTTGTTGCAGCAATATATGGTGTATGCGCCATATTTTGCAGAGTGGCTCATGCTATCATGCTGTCCATCTACGCAAATATTCCCCTTTTTCCTTCAAATCGTTGATAGTTTTTTCTTGATATTGCTTCCAGAACAGATAAACAGATTGTATAATTTTTTCCTATAGAACACAAATTTTAAGCTTAATATAAATAATATAACATAATTCAAGTTAAATAGAAAATATATGGTTTTCAGTTTTATACTACACACAAAAATAACTATATTTCATCATCATATATATAATAATGCAACTAAAATTTAAATGAAGAATAAAAAGCTTTTGACCCTCTGATGCTTGAACTATATCATTCAGTGAGTTTCAGGAAAGCTGTTTATGAAAAGAAACCTATAAGCATACTTACTTGAACAATAGAAAAGTCAATTATTTTGTTGTTGTTGCAGCAATATATGGTGTATGCGCCATATTTTGCAGAGTGGCTCATGCTATCATGCTGTCCATCTACGCAAATATTCCCCTTTTTCCTTCAAATCGTTGATAGTTTTTTCTTGATATTGCTTCCAGAACAGATAAACAGATTGTATAATTTTTTCCTATAGAACACAAATTTTAAGCTTAATATAAATAATATAACATAATTCAAGTTAAATAGAAAATATATGGTTTTCAGTTTTATACTACACACAAAAATAACTATATTTCATCATCATATATATAATAATGCAACTAAAATTTAAATGAAGAATAAAAAGCTTTTGACCCTCTGATGCTTGAACTATATCATTCAGTGAGTTTCAGGAAAGCTGTTTATGAAAAGAAACCTATAAGCATACTTACTTGAACAATAGAAAAGTCAATTATTTTGTTGTTGTTGCAGCAATATATGGTGTATGCGCCATATTTTGCAGAGTGGCTCATGCTATCATGCTGTCCATCTACGCAAATATTCCCCTTTTTCCTTCAAATCGTTGATAGTTTTTTCTTGATATTGCTTCCAGAACAGATAAACAGATTGTATAATTTTTTCCTATAGAACACAAATTTTAAGCTTAATATAAATAATATAACATAATTCAAGTTAAATAGAAAATATATGGTTTTCAGTTTTATACTACACACAAAAATAACTATATTTCATCATCATATATATAATAATGCAACTAAAATTTAAATGAAGAATAAAAAGCTTTTGACCCTCTGATGCTTGAACTATATCATTCAGTGAGTTTCAGGAAAGCTGTTTATGAAAAGAAACCTATAAGCATACTTACTTGAACAATAGAAAAGTCAATTATTTTGTTGTTGTTGCAGCAATATATGGTGTATGCGCCATATTTTGCAGAGTGGCTCATGCTATCATGCTGTCCATCTACGCAAATATTCCCCTTTTTCCTTCAAATCGTTGATAGTTTTTTCTTGATATTGCTTCCAGAACAGATAAACAGATTGTATAATTTTTTCCTATAGAACACAAATTTTAAGCTTAATATAAATAATATAACATAATTCAAGTTAAATAGAAAATATATGGTTTTCAGTTTTATACTACACACAAAAATAACTATATTTCATCATCATATATATAATAATGCAACTAAAATTTAAATGAAGAATAAAAAGCTTTTGACCCTCTGATGCTTGAACTATATCATTCAGTGAGTTTCAGGAAAGCTGTTTATGAAAAGAAACCTATAAGCATACTTACTTGAACAATAGAAAAGTCAATTATTTTGTTGTTGTTGCAGCAATATATGGTGTATGCGCCATATTTTGCAGAGTGGCTCATGCTATCATGCTGTCCATCTACGCAAATATTCCCCTTTTTCCTTCAAATCGTTGATAGTTTTTTCTTGATATTGCTTCCAGAACAGATAAACAGATTGTATAATTTTTTCCTATAGAACACAAATTTTAAGCTTAATATAAATAATATAACATTATTCAAGTTAAATAGAAAATATATGGTTTTCAGTTTTTTACTACACACAAGAATAACTATATTTCATCATCATATATATATTAATGCAATTAAAATTTAAATGAAGAATAAAAAGCTTTTGACCCTCTGATGCTTGAAGATGGTAGCCAAAGACAAACCCCATATGGTTAAAAACTCTTAATATTTTACTGGCTGATGCACCAGCCACAAGAGTAGCAAAGGACCGAAGCAGGTTTCCAGCTGGGATCTTGGTTCCTTTCATATCTTGCTGACTTCTCCACACATTTTCGTTTGATGGGCACTGAATACTGGAACATGTGGTTTTCACCTCCACAATGGTTCCAATCTGACGTGTGGTGATGAGAGGATTTGCTGTTTTGCAGACAAGACATAACTGAAACAACAGCAATAGCTGTTACATAAGAACAATAAACTTTGATTCATTCCTGAGGTTGTCATCCTTTGAATGTCTGAAATAGAATATACGAAATGAATTTATGAAAATGCCTTAAATTTAAAGCCAATTAAGGCAACATGACAACTAAATGTGATATTTTCAATTTTATCATTTGACAAGTTGGAATCAAATCAAATCTCTTCATCAGACTCATCAGTGTCCTCTTCAATATCGTAACCTGCATCTTCCATATCTTCTAGATGGACATTTTTTCATCACTAAAAATTTTCTTAATCTGTGTCCGAAGCATAAACTGGATGCTGAAGACGTTTTGTCTCACTTCTTAAGGTTTTCACTTTCACTGGATGTACTATAATATTGACAATATTTTTAGGGTCCACACATTAATTAAATCATCATACTTTACATAATTCATGGTTTCTCTGCCACAGGGGGGAATCACCATCAATATTTTGTGAGACGTTTTTTGTTCAGGCGCAAATACGTTCCGAATGGTCTGAAAAATTTTAGAACTTTTGAAAATTACCTTACCACAGCTAATATGATAAATCATGCAAATTGTTACTCCCGTTAAGAAGCGAATTTAGGTCTCTATAAGTGTTACATTTCTGAAAACGCTAACACTGTTTACCTGGCGATGTGCCTTAGACCTCTTTGGCTTAGGCCGTGTAGATTCTCCAGTCACAACCAGTGCAGAAGAGTCTATAGGGTACACTGTCGGAAAGTCAAGGGTGCCAAAATCATCGCGCCTCAACACTGCCTGTAGCATTTCTGTTGGTCCAAGCAGTGCCATGCATTTTCTTAGGAAATTCTCTTCTCCAAAATGATCTTTCAGTTGCATCGACTCAGTCTCACCCCTTTGCTCTTATTTCCCTACTGATGTTGTCTTCCATGCTGTTCTAGAAAAAATAGTGGCAGGATTTGATATAACGACGCAACCAGATAAACTGCTTATCTTACGGCGTACAGCTCCAACCTTTTTAACCTGCTGACTGCGTTGCCTGTTGGAAATATCCCAGAAGCTATGGCAGTTAAGTTGAAGCTTACATTTGCAAAAGAAAGGCATTATATTGACCTGGTTGAAACCAAGGATGCATCAGCCTCCATCGAGATTTTATTTCTGCCAAATTGGCCTCAGCGGAACCAGTGAGGATTATATAAGGAGGACCTTTTGAAAAGTGGACAGAATAGACTAATGCATGACTGCACAAAAGACTATCGTGGTCATCCTTGGCTAATGCCAGGAATCTTTATTGTAAACATGGTATGTAAACTTTGATTTTACAACTCAGGAGCAAAGATATACCATCAAATTTCTCTAGAAATTGAAAAAATTGGAATCCTTTTGAATAGAGGAAGAGCCTCTAACTTATTTTAACTAAGTTTCAATTTCAATAAGAAATAGTGTCTATTCTTGGAAATATTTTAACTTATTTAGCTATTTAACTTTTTGACTTCTTTCAATGCAAATTGCAAATAGGGAATTTTATTTTGAAATTTTATTTGTTCTACTTTTACAAGGCACACATTCATTCACGAAAGTGTTTTTATTCCAGTTTAAATATTCGAATTATTATTATTATTATTATTATTATTATTATTAATTATTATTGACTATTTGAAATACCTTGAACTTTCTATCAAAAATTAAGAAAAATATTCAAAAACTTTACTTAATTTCATGGTTTTTGCTGGCTTATTAAGGACTCAAAATGCAGAATGTTGAAGTCTCAAAATGCAGAATATATCCACCTGAGATTTAGAAAAAGGTTTCTGACAAAGCAGGAGCTAATCTTTGGATTTTATTTCAAAAGATATTTGCTACGTATTCAGTGTAATGGATGCACAGCAGTCACCAAACATTCCATTCACAATTTTTCCACTCAAATTGAAGAGGGTAATTGTGTGCTTTGAGGATAGTTAATGGTTTTCACACTATTTAATGCTAATAGCAGCTTACCTTTTAGGTTAACTTCTCTAATGCGTGTCTTTGAATTTGTTGTAGCCTACCTTCTGTTTTCTGAATCCATTATTGTAGCTGACATTTGCAAATATTGGCAATGTAGAGCAGCAAAGCTGCACTCATTTTAGAATTGTGTTAGAAGTAATTAATGCAAATTACGAGAACAATTTTAAATGTAAATAATCAAGAAAGGTTCGGTTTATCTTTTTGACAAGACATCAATAGATCTCTGTAAAAATAGATTTGATGTTTAAATATACAACTGAATCATTTTTAACTTTATTCTAGCACCACGTACAATGATCTGTGATAATTGTTGT